TAGGGTCCCCTATAATCAAAAACCCCGATATGAAGCTCAAGGGTAGCTGCGAGTGGCCCAAAACCATAAGCTTCAGATCAGCACCCCAGGCTTAGGGTTCGGGCGTAGGGCTTTGGGTTTAGGGTTTAGGGTTTAGGACAGGCAGCACGTAGTGACATGAAGCCAAGGGCATTCACCTGCTGCGACGACTACATCAGAAGTCCTCATCTTCGTGCATCATCTTCACCACGAGCATCGTCGACATAGTGCAGGTGAACATTGCCAGTACCGCCATCAACAATATCAGCTTCAGCATCCCCTCTTCGTCGTCACCTTCGCTAGCAAGAGCCCGCAAGAATCATCAACAAGATGCAAGACCAACCCCAGTCACACATCACCTTTACTATTATCCCTAAACCCAAAACCCTAAAACCCTAAATCCTAAACCCTAAACCCTAAAACCCTAAATCCTAAACCCTAAAACCCTAAATCCTAAATCCTAAACCCTAAACCCTCAGCGTCGTCGAGTTTTTGGGTGAAAGTTGGCAGGGCCTTCGTCCAGGGCCTGCATCGTCTCGTAGTCTGCAACCTCCACGCCTCAGCTGTCTGGTGCTTAGTAGGGAAAGGGGGAATGGATCCCTATGATAGTCCCTTAAGGGGGTTTAGGGTTTGGGCTGAGGGCTTATGGGTTTTAGGGCTTTGGGCTTAGGGCTTTAGGGTTTAGGGTTTTTTGGGTTTTAGGGTTTAGGGCTTAGAAGGCTGTCTGGTGCTTAGTAGGGAATGGGGGAATGGATTATAAGGTCTACTATAAGGGACCTTAAGGGACTATCATAGGGATCCATTCCCCTATTCCCTACCAAGCACCAGACAGACAAGGAGAGCTTCCGCTTGAGAAAGCAGTTGGTGAAACAGGTTCAGGGATTTAGGGGTTAATTTTGAGGGATTTGAGGGTTTAGGGGTTTGGAGTTTAGGGGTTTGGGGTTTAAGGGTTTAGGGGTTGAGGGGTTGAGGGGTTTAGGGTTTAAGAGGGCTTGTGTGCATCGTAGGAGCAGTGGTAGGTTTTAGAGAGACTGGCGGGCCCTCTCTCCTCCAGGATACATCGCCAAATCTTGCAGGCCACCACCTTCAACTCATACGCAAAGCACAGTCGGGCCAGTGGTACTAATCCGACAAGACAAGACTTGAACTTACAAGCCATACGCTCAAACATTCCTGGGGCATATCCCAAGTCCACTGAGGAGCCCTCTGAAGGAGGCAAAGGTAAATCCTAAACCTTATAGCCCCCTCGAAAACCACCGAGAATACAGGTCTAGAGCCCGGAAAGGAATGTGAGCCCTAAACCCTAAAGCCCTAGATCGGATATGGCCTACTCCATTAGCTCTTCTGTGCCAAGGGCGGCCGAGGCACCCATGGTGACTCCCTCCCAGAGCACACGCCTCTTGCGGAAGAGGCGGAGGGGCGAACGGGATGTCGTATTAAGGGATCCTACCGTATCAGGGTTTCTATAATACAACGGTTCCTATACGTAGTCAGCTAGGGATTTCCTGACGGCTATACTTATGTAGTTATTGTATGGAGTCTATACAAGTCTCGTGATGCCTTGGAGGCTTAGAAGATCTGCAAAGGTTTTTATTCGGGGTTTGCAGGCTTTGGCAATCTGTTTTTAAAGGACTGTAGAAGGGCCATAGACCTTTTTTCTCCGGGAGGGCGGGGGTATGGGCTTTCTTGAATCAGGGTTTGTCAAATTCTTGTATCCAAAAAAACCCCAAACCCTAAACACGAAACAGCAACCCAGTACCGAACTCGGTCGGGAGCATGGGTCGATCTCATTTCCTGGAACTTAGTGGGTTCCAAGGTGTTGTCTACCCTAAACCCTAAACGCCTATAGATCCCTGTAAAGGAACCCTTTTCGCACCCTTTTAAAGGAACCCTAAACCCTAAACCCTAAGACCCTAAGACCCATTTTGGGCGGATGACAAATCTTCCTCGGACCCGGTCGCGGGCGCGGGCACGGACGGTGCCGCGTGCAAGGAAGAGGACGGCCCCATGGGCATGGGCATGTTTAGGGTTTAGGGTTAAGGTTTTAGGGTTTAGGGTTTAGGGTTGAGGTTTTAGGGTTTAGGGTTAAGGTTTTAGGGCAAAAAAAAGGTTTGAGAGTTTAGGGTTAAGGTTTTAGGGTTAAGGTTTTAGGGTTTAGGGTTTAGGGCACAGAATTGGGCATGTGCCGCCCGGCATGCTAGGGGCCAAGGTCGGGATCTGTGTCTGAGTCGGGCCTATGGTCCATTTCGTCATCGCCTGCTTCATTGGAGGATCATGGGACGTAGTAACTAGGCCTAGGACTTAGAGATTTAGGGTTTAGGGTTTAGGGTTTAGGGTTCCCGGGACGTAGTAACTAGGGTTATAAATACGGTAAGTAGACTTATAATTACTTATAGCCCCAATTAGGGTACTTATAACCTTACTTACTAAGTCCCCAGATCCTCCAAACCCTACACCCTAAACCCTAAACCCTAAACCCTGAACCCTAACCCTACACCCTGAACCCCTGAACCCTAGATCCTCCAAGTGATTGATCGCTCGGCGACATGGCGGAGGGCATCTGACTGGACGGTGTCGTCCCTTCTTGGGGGGATCCACTTAATACGGTTGGGGTTTAGGGGTTTAGGGTTTAGGGGTTTAGGGTTTAGGGTTTAGGGTTCAGGATGAACAAAATCCTGCATGACCTTATATACCTAAACTATGGGATTTATGGTACTATACTATATTTGGGTCATGCAGAATCTTGTCCATCAACACTAGGAATCCTACGTACTCTTCGAGATCACTCGGCTTTCTGAACCTCCCATGTATCGACAGAGGCATCCTTAGACTTCGCGGGTCAAATCTTGGTGCTTGGGGGTCGGCACAGTGTACCTTTATGTTTATAGGCAGAACAGCCAGAATGCAAAACGCATCTTTTACTTGAGCCAATGACAGTCGTGAGTAAGAACTAGCTGCATCTTCAGCAAACAACATAAC